CTTTTTCCCCCCTTTTGGCATCATCAAAAAGTTGCATAATTAAGTAAGATAACCAGATTTTAAAACTTACTCATGGCCACTGGGGCTACTTCAAATTCAATCATGGATTAATCATCATAGATCAAGCTAAGAATTTTAACCATCAAAGAAATATAAACAAATAGTTAGAGCAAAAAATAGTGAATTTCATTGATGATTGATACGATTCTTTCACAAAGCATAAAAAAAAATAAACATACTGGAAACATGAGCAAAAGAAACAAAATAAATCCCGAACTGGGTCACTCATTGATCTACACTAGGCTAGGAGGCTTAAGGCTTGGAAGAACTGGGGGCTTAGTTTTTGGCTTGGAGAAGTTTCAGCATGTCTTGAAGAATTCCATCATTCTTCTCCTTTTCCCTTGCTAGTTCAGTTTTGAGAGCATCTCTCTCAGACTCTACCTCAGCTAACCTTTTCTTCAGCCTCTCAATCTCAGCATCCTTAGCCCCACTTTCTTGCACCAAGGCTCGCACCTTGCTATTCACTGGTACCTTCTTAGATGAACCAGGTTCTTTAGGAGTGACATGGACTTCATAGTCACAAGCAGGCAACATATTTACCCCTAAATGATCCTTGCTTGTACCAACCTCCCTTTCTTCTTTGGATTATAACTTTCAGTCACTCTCTTCAGTAGGTCTGCGAGGGTTTCCTGCTAAGATGAAACAGGTTCATCTATATTTTTCCCAAGTTGAACCAGCCTCTCAGTGGCTTCGCCAGACCCACTTTCCTCTGTTTTCTTTACACCCTCCTCTACTCCAGCAGATTTTTCTCCCCAAACAACTATTGCACTTGTGTCTTTGGTTAAAATCACAGGAGTGGATGAAGAATCAACCACTCTTTTACCCTTTCCCGTCACAGCACTTCGAAAACCCTTGCTCTTTTTTTCTTTTTCTTTTTCATTTTTTACCATCAATTCCTCCAGACTTTGTAGTTTCAACACCTTCTTTAGACCCTACTAGTACAAACCTATTCTCCAAATTTGTTCTCTCGCTGCAACAACCTTGCGAGCAAGCATCTTTACTCTTTTCTTAGAGGTTGGGGTGGTGGAAGGGATGATCGTGGGTGTGGAAGTCTAATCAAACTGAATTTCAGTTTTGAAAAAACTTTTGAGTGTATCCCTAAAATCTGGGTACTTCAATTCGATTGGGACTCTTTTGAACAGAATTGATTCACTTGTAACAGATAAGTCCAAAAGAAGTTTGGAATTAACTAGGACTCTGCTCATGATCCAAACATTATTATTTCAAGTTATGCAGAGTGTAGAAAACATACTGTGTTATCTTGATGAACCTGGTTCTTCACTGAGAATACTCTTGTGTAAATCTAAATTTGCCAAAATAGAGAAAATATCATTAGAGATTAATGAGCCATTTTAACACATGGCACAAGAGTATACTATTGAAAGTATGAGACTGAGCAAAAATTAATCTAATTATGTACACAATTTTCAGATTTTCTAACCAAAAATATATTTTTTTCGTTGTGTACTCTGAATTGGTCCTTTTAGGAGATCTTAATCATCCCTAATTCTAACCTGTTCCTTTCAAAGTGATCTCTACTTAGGGATTTTGTGAAGATATCAGCTATTTGCTTGTCAGTAGCACAAAATTCCACAGTGGTCAACCATTTTTCATAGTTATCCCTCAAAAAGCGATGCCTAACATCTATGTGCTTAGTTCTCTTGTGGTGAACCGGGTTCTTGGTCATACTAATAGCACTAGTGTTATCACAAAAAATGAGAATACAACCAACATCAATTCCAAAATCCTTTAATTGATGTTTGATCCACAACAATTGAGCACAACATGAAGCATCAGCAACATACTCAGCTTCACCAGTAGATAAGGCCACTGAATTTTGCTTTTTCGTGGCCCAAGACACAAGACATGAGCCAAGAAAGTGTGTCATACCTGAGGTGCTCTTTCTATCCACAAGAAAACCTGCATAATCAGCATCAGCATATCCCAAAGATTGAAATTACTACCTTTTGGATACCAAAGACAAAGATCAGTGGTGCCTTTTAGATATCTCAAAATTCTCTTGACAGCAATCAAGTGAGACTCCTTTGGATTTGTCTGAAATCTTGCACAAAGGCCTACACTGAAGACAATGTCAGATCTACTAGCAGTGAGATACAACAATGAGCCAACCATTCCCCTATACAACTTCTGATCGACAGATGAACCAGGTTCATCTATATCCAACTTTGTAGTTGTTGCAATATGAGTGTCAATTTCTTTGGAATCTTCCATTTTAAACCTTTTAAGCAACTCTTTTACATACTTCTGTTGATGGATCATAGTTCCATTTGGATTTTATTTAATTTGTAGGCCTAAAAAGAAATTAAGCTCACCCATCATGCTCATTTCAAATTCACTCCTCATTAGTTTAGCAAATTCTTTACTTAACTTATCAGTAGTTGCTCTAAAGATTATATCATCAACATCTATCTGAACTACCAAGAGATACCTTTTTCTTTCAAGAATAAAGTATTGTCAATTTTATCTCTCTTGTAGTCATGCTCAAGCAAAGATTTTGATAATCTTTCATACCATGCTCTTGGCGTCTGCTTGAGCCCATAAAGTGCTTTGTCAAGTTTGTACACATGATCAGGATTTTCCTTGCTTTCAAACCCCGGAGGTTGCTTGACAAACACTTCTTCCTTTAGATAGCCCTTAAGGAAGGCACTCTTGACATCCATCTGGTGGAGGGTGAATTCCATGTAAACAGCAAAGGCTATAAGGAGTCTTATTACTTCCAACCTTGCAACTGGAGCAAAGGTTTCATCATAGTTTATGCCCTCTTCTTGGCTATATCCTTGAACTACCAATCTTGCCTTGTTCCTTGTAACTGTTCCATCTTCATCAAGTTTGTTTCTGAAGACCCATTTTGTGTCAATTACTGATATGTCCTTGGGTCTTGGTACCAGATGCCAAACTTGACTCCTTTCAAATTGGTTGAGTTCATCTTGCATTGCATTTACCCAGTCTGTATCATACAAAGCCTCAGCAACATTTTTAGGTTCAATAAGAGATAAGAAGGCATCAAAAGTACAAAGATTCTTTAATGAAGATCTGGTTTTGATTCCAGAGGTTGGATCAGTATTATGTTCTCAATGGGATGAGAACTTTGATACTTGTAAGGTTTCACAACCAACTGGTTTACCCTTGATGTTCCTTCAGTGTTTTGTTGTTGTGGAACAGGTTCATGGACAGGTTCCCTTGATGTTTGAGAATCATTTCCTCTTTGTTCTATTCCCCCTGTTAGGTTGCCCTGGGTAGAAGGTCCTATTCCATCACCTGTTCCATCTTCCAGTGCAGCTTCAGTCTGGGCTGCGGTTTCATTTAAGTTTCTTACCAGCCAATTGCTTCATCATCATGTTCCTGTCTCTCAGAAAGAATGTTAGTTTCATCAAAAACCACATGAACACTTTCTTCAACACACATAGTTCTTTTGTTATATACCTTATATGCTTTACTATGTGAAGAATATGCCAAGAATACTCCCTCATCACTTCTGGTATCAAACTTGCCTAGGGAGTCTTTACCATTATTGCATCCAAATGACCTAAGATGGGATATATTTGGTTTTCTCCCTTTAAGTAACTCATATGGAGTTTTCTCAATAAGAGGTCTTTTCATGCACCTATTTATGATGTAGCATGCAGTATTTACAGCTTCTGCCCAGAAGCTATGAGGCAGTTTACTAGAAAGAAGCATAGTCCTAGCCATATCTTCAAGTGTCCTATTCTTTCTTTCAACTACTCCATTTTGTTGTGGAGTCCTAGGAGCAGAAAAATTATGATCTATGCCATGCTCATCACAAAATTCAGCAAATTTAGCATTCTCAAATTCAGTGCCATGATCAGACCTAATTGATGCAAGTTGATTACCTAGTTGTTTCTGAGTTTTTCTAACAAAAGAAGTGAACATGTCAAATGCTTCATCTTTAGATGTTAAAAACAATGTCCAAGTAAACCTAGAGTAATCATCAACAAGCACCATCACATATCTTTTACCACCTCTACTTAATGTTCTCATTGGACCACAGAGATCCATATGAACCAGTTCCATCGTTCTGGTAGTACTTACCACTTTCTTGCATTTAAAAGAGGATCTTACACGCTTCCCCCTTTCACAAGCCTCACAAACTTTGTCTTTATTGAACTTAATATTAGGCAGTCTTATCACCAAGTCCTTGGAGACTAATTTGTTGAGTTGACTTAGACTTGCATGTCCAAGCCTCTTATGCCAAATGAGGGGATCATTATCCAGCACACTTAAGCAAGTTAGTTCATTCTCTGAGAGTGTGGACAGATCTATAATATATATATTATTCACTTTTTTACCCTGCAAAACAATCTTGTCAGTGATACGATTTATCACAAAACATTTAGTAGAGGTGAATGCTACCAAATTACCTCTATCACACAATTATGACACACTGATTAGGCTATACTTCAGGCCGTCTATCAAGTAGACATTCTCAATGGAATGAGAGTCATCATTACCTACCTTACCAACCCCAATGATTTCACCTTTCTTTCCATTTCCAAAGGAGACATTTCCTCCTTTGAGGTCCTCAAGTGAAAGGAACTGGTCCTTGCTTCCATCATATGCTTTGAGCAGCCACTGTCCATGTACCATATTTGGCTGCTCCCCTTCACTTGAACCTACAAAAGGAAATCAGGGGTTAGTCTTAGGAACCCAAACTAGTTTGGGTCCCTTTCTTTAAGCAAAAGAATGAATTAAATTCTTTTTAGCCCAACTTGGTAACTAATTCTTCCCTTGAACAAAATTTTTGTACTTTCGACTGGCCCTTTCTTTTGCGTTACATTCACTTTTATAGTGACCAGTCTTACCACAGTGAGAACAAAATCTTGTTCTCAGGAAGAGTGAGGTACTTGCTTTTAGGATCCCACTTAGGTAGCTGATTCCCAAAGCCAAGTCCTCTTCTATTGCTACTGTGATGTTCCTGTAGCCATGACAAAGCATCAGAGGACCTATTCCATTTACTAGTTTTGTCTAATTCATGATTGACCTTGCCTAGATCCTCCTTTAGCACTCTTACCTTCTCATCCTTCTTATACAACTCATCTTTCAATTTGCCTACATTTTCTTCTAAAGTGAGTTGTGTGCAATCATATGTCTTCTTACTGGTTCCTAGTTTCAGTTTTAGATTTTCAGATTTTAACTCAAGAATATTTGCTTCAAATGTATGAACCTGGTTCTTCAGAGCAGTATTTTCACTCACAGTCTCACTAACTCTGAGTTCCAGATTCTTACACTTTGCTTTTAAAATCACACAATCCTTAGACAGCTGTTCTTTTTCTTTATTTATTACCTCAAATTCATCAATGAAATCTAGCAATAATTCAGAGAGTTTTTCTTTAGACAAAAACTTAATCTTGTCTTTGAGATGAATTATACTTACCTCAGATTCCTCATGAGATTCCCCATCTGATTCTCCAATTGCCATAAATTCTTGTTCATCTCCATCTTCATCATCTGATTCCTCATCTGAACTTTCTCCCCAAGCAGCAACCATAGCCTTTGTTGAGTTCTTCTTGGGATGAACCTGTTCCTTCTTCCTATGCCTTCGTTCAGATCTTTCCTTCTTCCATTCAATTTCCCATTGAGGACAGTTCTTGATGTGATGATCAGTCTTCCCATACCTGTAGCAGCCCTCATTGGTCATTTTTTTAGGAACCCTTGTTTTGTTGTAATTTCCACCTCTTGAAGAACCTTTTCCTCTCATAAGGTATTTCTTGAAGTCCTTGGTGATCATAGCCATTTCATCTTCCTCCAGATCAGCACCTTTAGTGATCCTGAGTGTCAGGCTCCTTTCCTTCTTTGGCACATCCATCTTCATGGTCTTCCTTCTAAGTTCATACGCAGTGAGATTTCCAATCAACTCATCCAGTTTAAGAATTGCAATGTTCTTAGATTCCTGAATTGCAGTGATTTTGCTTTCCCAAGAAACTGTTAGAACCCTAGTCAGAATCTTCTCGACTTTGTCTTCTTCAAGAAGAGTCTTTCCAAGAGACTTCAGTTCATTAGTCAGTGTGGTAAACCTTGTATACATCTCTTAGATGGTTTCTCCTTCCTTCATAGTGAAATTCTCATATTGAGAATATAGTAACGTTCCTCTGGACCTCTTCACCTGAGGTGTTCCTTCATGAGCTACTTGCAAAGTATCCCAAATTTCCTTAGCAGTAGTACAACTTTGAATTCTATTGTACTCGTCTGGACCAAGTCCACATACGAGCCATTTCTTGGCCTTAGCATTCTTCTCCCATTTCCTCAAGTCGTCAGCAGTGCAGTCAACTCTTGTTTTTGGCACCTCTTCTCCTTCGGCATTTATCTTCATGGTAGCTAGTAGACCATATGTGACAATGTCCCATAGCTCATAGTCTTATCCTATGATGTGGTCTCTCATTCTATTTTTTCACCAGGAGTAGTACTGGCCATTGAAGAGTGGTGGCCTAGCAGTGGATTGCCCTTCCCAGATTCCAGGTGGTGCACTCATCTTGATCTTCTCCTAAGGTGTTAGCCTCTTCAAGGATAACCTACTTTGTTACCAATTGATGTTTTATACATCAATACCACACAGGGGGGGGGGAGGGGGGAGGGAAAGATTTGTGTGGTGTCCAATTTTTCACGTGCACAGATTATAGAAGGACCTGGTTCTTCTATGTGTTCCAACTACTACTGTTGCGGAATAATAAGTACAGAAAATAAAGAACACAAGTATTTTACGTGGAAAACACCTGGCTCAAAAGGTGAAAAAAAATCACGATCTACTTTCCAGTAGGATTTTCCCAAAACTTTTCACTAAATTACTGAGCCAAAAACTGCATTTATAAAATACTTTTATAAATCTAGGATTAACTCTAATCCCGTTGTGGCAACCAGCCTCTAACTGTTGCGACAACTTTAAGTTAACTCTAACTTGAATTCTTTGAGTACCTATTACAATTGCCTCTAGATAAAGCTGAAAGGTACAATATGAAAACACCTATTACAATTGAACTAGAATAAAAGACAGACACTTGGAGCTGGTTCTTCTATCTAGTTCATGTAACTTTAGGTTCGCACACTTGAATCACACACGAACTGCTTGCAAAATATCTTGCTATTTTGCTCTCAATTCACGTTTAACTTCTGCTTTTGTGCGTCACCTGTAGAATGAGAACTTCCTGCGATTTATAGAGTTAGTAGAGTAGAAAGCAACTAGAGTTCTAATGCTACTCTTCCTTGGTGGAAGAGTTCTAGTTGATCTCAACCTCTAACTCCTCCCTTATCTTGGATAATGTTCTCGTTGAGTAAGGACTAATTCTCTCGGCCACATATCAACAAGCCACCTCATNTAATCTTTTCGATCAGGAGATATCTATTATTATGCCAGATTTCGTCCTGCATGTGTATCTCACGTGCTTTGAATCTGCCCGTGTCTATGCCTACCAGTGATGGACCTGGTTCATCCCTGAGTTCCTTTGTCAATCTTCAAAACTATCCTTTCCTTGGGCCAACATAGACCATATTGCAAAAAACTACTCCAAAAATAAATGCTTTATTTATTTATTTATTGTAATCGGTATATTTTTATGAGGAGTAGTTTATAGAAGGTGATCAATGAGCAGGATGATGATCGATCCTTTTTCAGTTGAGGTCAATTGCATTTTCTTATAACAATTTAACTAATTTTGAATAACACCAATGCTTGTTCCATTCACACAATCTAATCTTAATCTAATCGCTATTGAGGGTGGAATCTTGAACCACATCACTGACTTCGCAAATCTTTTAAAAAATTAAATAATAAATTAAAATGACGATTGACGAGATTACCCCAAGTAGTAATTGAACCCTCTAGCTGTAATTAAAATGACGATTGGTGTTTCTAAGTTTCTTGTTTCCTTTTCTTAAGAAGAATTTTTTATTTTACAAGAGAAAACATTCAAGAATAAGGAGATCGAGCGAAAGTACAAGAAGAAAGAGCTCCCATTGTTTTTGAATGATTGAAAAAGCTCCCCATGTACTGTTGTACATAATACTCCTAGAAGAATGCAAAATGAAGTTTGATTAAATAACCTATTTATAGAGCGTGACTCATCATTGTTTGCTCACCTAAGAAGTGCTACAAATGCCCAATTTCCCCGTTCCATTTGGGAAAATCCAGTTATATTTTTCGTTTTCTTTCCATTATATGTCACAAACCATTAACTAGTAAATTACTTGGTATTTTCATCTCAACGTAGCGTGTTAATAATGTAGCAACAAAGTTGGATTAATCAATGTGTATCCGACCAACTGTTACTGTCTGAATTTACAAACTATATTAGAATATTGTTTAAAGTAATTTTGTTTTGACGGATTTGTCATTGAAAAGATTTTTATTTTCTTTTCTGTGATTTTACTACACATGTTTAGCATTCTGCAAAGTTATTCTACTAGTAAAGAAATGTGTGGATGAATAATGGGTAAAATAAATGAGAAAATTGACATTCCCAACAGGGATGATATGGTGGTTAAGTTTTCAACAGATATACCATGCGCACTTAGCACAACACCTAAATGGTCAATAATGGACGAAATATACCAAATTGTAAATGGGGAATAATGCCAACTCACTATTGAAAACCCCACACCCAATTGAATATTATAAATTATACTTAATAAATCTAATGGACATGATTATCCAGTGAACAACAGTTAAAGATAAAGCAAATAAACTAATGGGGAAAAAGTAAAAAATAGCAATGACAAGACCTAATTACAAAGAATATGTAACACATGAAAATGAAAGGGTACTAAAGTATAGAAAAGAAAGGAGGAGGTCAGTTCCTTGCGCCCCGACGTATTTCTTGGTTTTGCCTCGGAGCTACGTTCGGTGTTTGTTTATGTAATAACAGGATAAGAATGACTCACAAATGAACCCAATAAGTCGAGAAGCAGCGGATTCTAAAATTTTAAATTAACGATTCTAATAAATTTACATATATTAAAATTGAAAAAATAGCGTTCAAACCACATATAACTTGAGGCGAATACATATTAAATCTTATGGATACGTCGAAGCCATTATATTTTTTAAAGTCGCATTTATAATTTTATATTTATTAAAAATTCAAAAATTTATTAATATTATACTTCGATGTATATCTTAGATTTGCCATTTTACTCAATTTTAGTGGTAATGAACACATAACATATATCTTTACATGCACCTGTATCATTATATTAGTAATTAATTAATTTATATTTTTACTTTAATTTATTTATTAATTATAATAAATTAGTAGTATGATTTAAAGTAAATATTGTCTCTTTTTCTCGCCCTTTCTCCAATCTTTATGTAAAAATATGAAAAGAAATTTTTCTCAAGCCCACCCCACTGTCATCCTAAGTCCTTACAAGTACCCGTCATTTCTCTCACCCCCTCCACTTCCTCAAAGGCAAAACCCCCCTCTCCTCTCTCTCTTTCTCCAATAAATTCTCTCTCTCATATTGCCACTCTTTTTTCTCTGGAGAAAGGAAAAAAACCAAAGCGTTACTACTGAAAAGTATTTCAAACTGGCGATCGATAACCAAGATATCACAATCCGTGAAATCAAGCCTAAGAACAGGCGAATCATGGTAAATTTCAAGAAACCACCAATCATTTTGGCTTCTGTTATATGGTGAAATTCTTTTATTTTGCTGACTCTTTCTTTTTTCTGAGTATAGGGACCTGATGAAGATGACAATAGGTGGCCTCTTTGGTTGAAGCCATTACTAAGGGAACGATTCTTTGGTCAATGTAAGTTACACGCTGATTCTCACAAAAGTGAATGTAATATGTACTGTCTTGACTGTATCAATGGCCCTCTCTGCTCTCTCTGTTTAGCCCATCACAAAGACCACCGTGTTATTCAGGTTCGCCATTTTTCATCTAATGGAATCACAAAATTGCTCTGTTTTTGGCTGCTTCATTTTTTAAACTGAGTTTCTTTTGGTGAAACAGATAAGGAGGTCATCGTACCATGATGTGATAAGGGTGAATGAAATTCAGAAATATTTGGACATTTCTTCAGTTCAGACATACGTTATCAACAGTGCTAAAGTTGTGTTCTTGAATGAAAGGCCACAGCCTAGGCCAGGCAAAGGGGTGACTAATACCTGTGAAGTCTGTGAAAGAAGTCTTCTTGATTCCTTCAAATTCTGCTCTCTTGGTTGCAAGGTACAGAAATTTCTTACTCCTAGATTTTCCATTAATTTCTCTGTTCTCTTTCCTTATCAAAATATTTCTTGCATTTTATTTGACTTTTATTATAATTGAATTGAGTGCACCCATAAAATTCTTGAATCTGTACATTTCAATGTATTAGCTCAATGGTCATTTACCTCACTGGTCCATTGATTGCAAATATTTAGCATTTTCAAAGTATTATCTCGGAAAATTAAAGAAAGTTGGATTTTTGAGATTGGCAATTGATTATTGTTGCATTTATTGTATTTCCCAATAGGAGTAAAAACTGATATTTTAGTCTTGATTGTTCAAGGGGATTTCTAAATTAAATCAATTTTACAGATTGTTGGGACATCAAACAATTACGTGAAGAAGCCGAAGAATTCGCCGGAGAAGAGGACGCCGGTGAAGGCATCGGAATCTGAAGACTCATACAGTAGTAGCAGCAGCCATGGCCGGAGAAACAAGATTCAGAGTTTCACTCCGTCAACGCCGCCTCCAACTTCTGCTAATTACAGAATGGCCAAGCGAAGAAAGGGAATTCCTCATCGATCCCCAATGGGAGGACTATTCATAGATTAGTATTTGCATCGCAGTCCTTTAATTTACATCTAAAATGCATAATGTCTATACTAATACAGCCTAGTTATCATAATAATGCAGCTCCTAAAAAACCCACCAAACACTAGTGCTTTCTCCAAAAAGGCCAGTGTTTTTGAGCTCTTTCGTCCAAAATAGTGGTATTGTATAAATTGGAGGGGTGGAAGTTGAAATAAGAAAATATGAAAGGGACTAATATAGTGAAGTTAGTAGGTGGGCTTAGAAAATAAGCTACTACTATAGTTTGATGAACTCTATTAGAT